GAAAGGCAGCTCTCAACGTCCTTGAACTCGTGCAAGTCGGCGCTCAGTTCAATCCAGTCCGACACGATGGGGTACGCAAAGAAGTTGAAAATTGCAACACACTTCTCCTGCATTGCTTCTGCGTCGCTAGTAGCCGAAAGCTGGCTAGCACTGCAGTTGTTTGAACAGAAAAATTTATGTCTAACGAAATTAAGCACGGTTTCGTTGAGCAGGCCAGCTGCCCACGAGTAGGTACTGGGAGCAATGAGAAGCAAATCGGCCTGAGCCATGTGAGCCCAATCATCAACAATGTCACCATCCAGGTGAACTTGCACACCAAGGTTTCTGTAGACATCGAAGTTTTGGCTGGGGAAGCCATCCTCCGTTGTACTGATGATATGAACATCGACGTTCTGCACACGTTCGTGGAACATTCGCAAGAAATCCAAGTACAAGGCGTCGGATGCGTAATGCAGGTTATTCACCATCTTCGCAGCAGGGTTTGGTGGAACTTCATCCCCTCGGCGTATATGAATGACAACCTTCATCTCCTTCCCTGTGAAGTAACGCGTTGCGTGCCTCAGAAGCGAGGTGGACTTTCGCAGCTGTGACAGAAACGGTAAGGTGAGAACCGCCAGGTCTGGTCGTGGTCTGCACGAAATACCATTGCACTCTGCCAGAAGGATCTCCTCGCCGTCCTTGACATTGTCTAACGTATCTCTGCCGTTCCAACACCGATCAAACTGATATGTGTTGGCGTCCACCACCAGTTCCGAATAGTTGCAACCCAGGAAAGCACTCATGGCTCTTGGCACGTCAGCTCCGTGTTGCGCATGTAGTACGAAAATTCCGTCGGTGAAGAAACCTCCAAATTCATGTTGTTTTGGGCTGCGTGCGCCAAGCTCAGCAGGGTTTGTCCGATGCGAGTACCAGCCCCATCATGTCTCTGTATGGCATACATCGTCGCGGACGGATTCTGCGCCAGCTGGGACAAAGAACACATCGGCGCGGACCGGATGGCCATGGCATTCGGCACCTCGTTTTGGTTTACTGATTTCTGCACCTTTAGCAGCATCCCTGCCCCTCGGAACCCTCAACTCAGCCTCGGGCATCCTTCTTTGTGTCCGACCTCGTGCAAACGTAATCCTGGGCTGGCTGCGGACATCCGGAACACCCGAGATAGTCTGTATAATTGTTTGGGGTGCTCAAGGAGGCACCCATTTGCACTCTTCCCCAATTCAGGTGAACATGCATCGAGCAATATGCTCTCAGTGCTCACAGCACTTGCAGGTCGCATCTCCTAACGCCTCTGCCCCGGCCGAAGCGTTGACGCGGCGACCTCCCCACTCCCGGCCGTCTGCCCCTGTATTTTCATATTGCCATGGGCAGCCTTGCATGCGTTGAGAAAGTTGCAGTAGCTGATAACTCCGTTGCAGGCCGAGACACCTTGAATTTGCAGTCATTTTCACCATGTGCACTTGGACACCGAGCCGAAATTGGCATGCCACGCGCAGCATAGCTCAAATTTGCCGGCTCCTCCACAACACATGTCGTCTGGAAGAAACGAGCATGTGGCTGAAGTGCTCCCTCCTGTCTCTGCCTCTACATCCATTGCACTTCTGCCCAAGAGGCATCTGCCTAAAAGTATGTGAGCAACATTCCTCCAATGGCAGTTCCAGAATCGTGCAGCCTCCTCGGCCATGTCTCTGGAGGTCGCGGCTCTGGAACCTTCTGGCATTGGTGTCAAGGTCTGCTTTTCTTTTCTCCAGGGTTTGTTGAGCTGAGTCAGTTCAGCCTTCATGATGTCGCGGGGTTGAGGCGTGATTTCTAGGGGAGCGGGACCAGGGGGTTAGTGGTGAGGTCATTGATTCTATGGGGCATGCGGGATTTTGTGCGTGTGCACAGTATCCACGCTAGAAACAAACAAACAAAACAAAACAACACAAACAAACAAACACACACACACACACATGTATGTATGTATGTATGTATGTATGTATGTATGTATATATATATATATAGATACTCACACACCCTCATTCATGCATAAGAAAAGTGTCTATATATACATATCGACCTACCTACTCACCTATCTGTCTATCGATATATCCGTCTATCTGTCTGTCTATCTGTAAGTATAGATGTATGTGTGTATATGTATATATATATATACATATGTTTATTTACGTGTGTGCTTGTGCATGTTCTGTAAGAGTTGTCTTTTGTTTACCGCACTTTCAGGTTTCACACCGGCTTTCTCATTCCATAGGATCTTCCTACTAGACAATGCAGTTCCTATTAGACGGGTGTACCTAGTAGACACTGGTCTTCCTGTTGGATGGGGCTTACCGACTGGGCTTTGTCTTCCTCTTGATGCCGTGGCTTAGGGAGTTCTCTTTTGAAATGGATTGGCTTGGCTTGGCCGCGACTTCATGTCCTTCAACCCGGAAGGTTTTGAAACTCTTAAAAATCCTGTAGCGGTAAATGAATATATCAGTGTATGCATATATATATAGAGAGAGAGAGAGAGAGAGAGAGAGAGAGACACATATGTTCATGAATGACGGAATGAATCAGTGTCTGTGTGTGTGCGCGTCTTCAGTTGCATTGGACTTCGGGCAGGTTCAACCGGAAGCTGTGTATGTTCGCGATGTCGGCATTGCAATTCCGGAACCCAAATCCCAACTCCATATCCTCAATTATAAGCAAGGCTTACAGCCAGAACACAAGGGTGCATCCCGCAAAACCCTGAAGCCGAATGTACAACCTCCGAGTCTCAAATCCCAAAGGTGAACCTACATACGTCCTGACACCCCAAACTGTACGTTGTACATGTGATTGTGGTGTCAATGCTTGCGGGGATACAGAACCACTAACCCTACTATAGTGGGTAGGAACAGGAGAAGCCATCAAGCCTGCCTGGGACTGACCTTGCCCCCAAACCTGAACCTCGCCTCAGCACCTGAACCCACACCCGCACGCATGCTCTTACTCAAACTTCTCTTTCACTCGTGACTTGAGCCATCATCCGCGATGGCATAACCTTGGTACACTTCTCGATTTGTGCGCCATCTTGGTACACTTCTCGGTTTGTGCACCTCGGACAGGGGCCATGCAGCTTGGTACACTTCTCGGTTTGTGCGTGATTTCTTGATGCACTCACACTCCTCCTCGAACATTCCAGCTTTGATGGTATGTTCGCTCGCGGAGTGCATAACAAAAACATGCATAGGCTGTACTAAGCAGTGGCTTTTCCACGCCTCATTTCAGTCTCCTACTCGCCCTCTGGTCAATCCAATCTTTTCGGCATGCTGCTCCAACTTAGCACGACTCAACGGCTTCGTCAGCATGTCTGATACCAGCTCTTTTCCCGGTACGTGTTGCAAGTTCACAGCGTGATGCTCATGTTGATCGCGTGTCCATGCAGCTCTTATTGCATAATG